ATTGATTACATACAGGACAGTTAATAATCTGAAGAAAGCCAACCTCGTTACACAAGGTTCAGTGATATATGTCATACTTACAGTTTACCGTCAGCGATGCTTGAASTGACGAATCATTACCAACACCATTCACCGCCTGGCAGGAATAGTAGCCCTCGTCAGTACGGTTCACTCCAGTAATAGTAATTGAAGCACTGGTATTACTGACTGAGGTAGGTGGAGAGACAGATATTCTGTTGTCATTARCAGCTATGATTGGTTGACCATCTTTGAACCAGGTTACGTTAGAAAGTGGTTTTCCTTCCAAGTAACAAGTCAGAGATATATTGTTTCTCTCAACTACTGTTTGAGTTGTTGGAGGTACCAATATCTTGGAAGGATCTGAAAACATTGATCGCATACAGTACAGTTAATAATCTGAAGGAAGCCAACCTAGTTACACTAAGTTCAGTGATATGTCATACTTACAGTTGACTGTCAGCAATGCTGATGATGAGGCATCATTACCGATATCATTCACAGCCTGACARAAATAGCTGCCCTTGTCRGTACGGTTCGCGTTAGTAATAGTAATWGTAGCACTGGTATAACTGACWGAGTWGGAAGAAGATAAAGATRTTCTGTTGTCATTAGCAGGTATGATTGGGTGACCATCTTTGAACCAGGWTACATTAGATACTGGTTTGCCTTCCAAGTAACACGTCAGTGATAGACTGCTTGTCTCGACTACTGTTTGGGTCGTTGGAGGGACCAATATCTTGGGAGGATCTGAGAATGTTGATTGCATACAGGACAGTTAATAATCTGAGGAAGCCAACCTCGTTACACAAGGTTCAGTGATATATGTCATACTTACAGTTTACCGTCAGTGATGCTTGAACTGACGAATCATTACCAACACCATTCACCGCCTGACAAAAATAGCTGCCCTCGTCAGTACGGCTCACATTAGTAATAGTAATCGTAGCACTGCTATTACTGACTGAGGTGGGTGGAGAGACAGATATTCTGTTGCCATTAGCAGGTATGATTGTCTGACCATCTTTGAACCAGATTACATTAGATACTGGTTTCCCTTCCAAGTAGCACTTCAGTGATAGACTGGTTGTCTCGACTACTGTTTTGCTTGTTGGGGGGACCAATATCTTGGGAGGATCTGAGAATGTTGATTACATACAGAGCAGTTAATGATGTGAAGGAAGCCAACCTTGTTACATTAGGTTCAGTGATATATGTTGTACTTACAGTTGACTGTCAGCAATGTTCCAGATGAGGTATCATTGCCAACACCATTCACACCCTGACAGGAATAGTAGCTCTCGTCAGTACGGTTGACGTTAGTAACAGTAATCGTAGCACTGGTATTAGTGACTGAGGTGGGTGGAGATACAGATATTCTGTTGTCTTTCGCAGGTATGATTGCGTGACCATCTTTGAACCAGGATACATTAGAAAGTGGTTTCCCTTCCAAGTAGCACTTCAGTGATAGACTGGTTGTCTCGACTACTGTTTGGCTTGTTGGGGGGACCAATATCTTGGGAGGATCTGAGAATGTTGATTACATACAGGCAGTTAATAATCTGAGGAAGCCAACCTCGTTACACAAGGTTCAGTGATATATGTCATACTTACAGTTGACTGTCAACAATGYTCCAGATGAGGTATCATTACCGACATCATTTACAGCCTGACAGGAATAGTAGCCCTCGTCAGTACGGTTCACTCCAGTAATAGTAATTGAAGCACTGGTATTACTGACTGAGGTWGGTGGAGAGACAGATATTCTGTTGTCATTTGCAGGTATGATTGCGTGACCCTCTTTGAACCAGGTTACATTAGATAATGGTTTGCCTTCCAAGTAGCATGTCAAGGTCATACTGTCTTCTTCATTTGATGTTTTATCAGTAAGTGACTCTGAGAATATTTTTGATGGATCTGGAAAAGCAATATCCAAGGCACTCTACRAGAGTACTACAACAGACAATAGGCTGACCGGCCAAATATTTTAAGCTGAGCTGCCAGAATTAAACGTTTTCTTTTACAGTCATTTAAGGACCCATTTAAGGAGCAAGAGTTGGAAAATGTGAGTATTAGGACTACWTTTATAAAGCTCAATGTTACTGCCTTGTAGCTAAAAATCCGGCGCCGGGAAGCATTTGGAATTTTTATTAAATTAAACAAAAGCAATGATAAGACTGTCCATGAGGTCAGCCTTGCCGCAAAGGAACAGTGGCTATAGTGATATTTAACGAAAGATTGTGTCGCAGGTTTGGCACAAATCCTCATATTCTGAAGAAATAATAAAACAGGGCAACTCCTAATAATAAAAGTCTGTTGGTATATATATTTTATTACTTTAAAAGTAATTCGTGCAAATAAAAAAAATCTGGATTTATCGATAAAGTCAAAAACCAAAGTCTTACTCTGGATTTACTTTTTTTTCTTTTTTTTCTTTATTTTTCTTTATTTTTCTTTTTGAAAAAAGTTTCTTTTCTAAGATGGTGTTTAATTTATCGATTATAAATATTTTCTTTGATGTTGTTCAAACTAGGAATTTTATTTTTTATTTTTATTCTATTTTATTAGGATTTTAAAATTTAGTCTGATTAATGATATACTTACAGTTGACAGTAAGATTGGCCGACGATGATAAACTAGGATCAATCGAATTAGAAACGCTACACGAGTAGATTCCTTGATCATCTCTGTCGACTTTCGTTATCGTCAATGTTCTGTTGTCGTTAGCGATTTGGTACATCGAGTTCCTTCCTGCCAGTTCTTGACCATCTTTGTACCATACGGTTGAAGGGACTGGKGATCCAGTAGCATTACAGGTGAATATAACCTGTGCTCCTTCGGAAACCGTCTTTGATTTTGGTAATTTTTGTATGAATGATGGCGGCTCTAAATGTATACAAAAATATGAATAATTAATTAATAAGATGGATAAAAAAGTTATTTGCGCTATAATTCACTTTTTCTTTTTCCCCTTACATTGATTCCTTTGCATTTTCCTCCCTTCCCGTGCCTTTGCAACCATTTCCTTTCCTTTCCCTCCAATTCCTATTCCCGTGCATTTTCCTTCTTTCCTGGTTCCCATAACACCTATTTACTCCAACCCCCCAACCCCCCTCCCCCTCCTACATTCTTAGAGTCTCGTGTCCTGCGGAAACAAACCCGCAGAAATACAATATAATTATACATATTTTGTCCCGTTAACGTTTTTTATCTAAAAACGCAACGATTCACGTCAAGATTCTTAAATACCGTTCATACCAAAACGGTCCGGAATCCTTTGTGACAGACAGAAACAAAGACCATATCTTTATACTAAGATATGCTCTGTGCAATGCAATATGAATATTTTCGCCTAGTTCAAACAGTCCGCATTAGAAAAATAAAACAATCTCTTTTGTGGTCTTTTGTTTTTCAAGTCAACGTGCTTGCAGTTTTATTGTGACTCCATCGCAACCATGTTGGCGTACTGCCCACTAACCACTGTTGGTACTCCAACATGGCTGCTATCCGTCTAATAGGAGAAACTTAAAAGCAATGAAAATAAAGCCGGTAAATCAGCTCAAACGGGAGGGGGAATTAGCAAAGCCTGTTGACTTTAAAATAACACATTTTTGTACGTAATTTTTCAAACTAGGCGAATATTCATTGAGAAAAATATATTGTTTGAGACCGAAACGAAAGTAAGCTGTGATAAGGTATTTCGAACGAAGACACTACGAAATATGCCCGAGTCCGATCCGAAAWATAAGCGAAACGTGTCGGAAARCGAAAGTARAATATCGAAAGGAGCTGGACCATTGTGAAGCCTGAAATAAAAAGAAACAAAAAGCAAAGAAATTATTAGCATAATACTGCAACACTGGTAAAGAATTTTATCTTCATTTCATGGTCAACTTATCAAACGTTGAGATTATCGTGCTACTGAATGAACTTGAGGTTAGGTCTTGCCAAAGAAAACACTGCGGTCAGGTTTCTTCAATTTTGGCTGCTTGCTTCGTGGACGTCAAAAAATCCTTATCTGAAAATGTAAAAAAAATAGTCAATGATACAGTCAATGTCATTAACATTGTCCACCGAAAAAAGACATTTAGAGATTTACACATTTACACATTTAGACACTTAGACATTTAGACTAAAAGAAATATCACGTGTTTTCTCGAACGTTCTGGCATAAAACAAACGCTGAAATACCATTCTCCATCTTAAATCCTCACTAAATGGTCGGGGTACTCTCGATTTTCGATTCACGAGTTRAATTTTACATTTAAAGTTCAGGCTGACGCACACGAGGCAAAGAATACATAATGAAACACGTGATATTTCTTTTAGTCTAAATGTCCAAATGTGTAAATGTCTTTTTTCGGTGGACAACGTTAATGACATTCACTGTATACACATTGAAATATCATTTCTCCTTCTGTCTGCGTTTCATAAGTTTCTCGTGGTTATGTGTTAGAAAAGGCTACCAGCTTCAGGACTCGTTATTCACCTTGTACTTTGTGTGACTTATTACCTTTACGACTATACGAGAGGTTTAGCTACACGAGCCTAAGGTGAAGCCATGCTGACCAGAAAGACGTTCCCTAGTACAGGCGTGGTTTTTAGAAGCAATTACTTTCTAAACCATTGTCTGTACTTAGGTACGTGCAAGCTCGACCACAGCTACAGCCATAGACTTGGCCATCTAACTCCAAAGTGAAGTCGATTTATTGTGAGTCAGAGTAAACTAGATTTGTCTATATATAGTTAATTTTCAAATCCTATTTACCGAGTTCTGTGGCTAGATAAAATCATGGTGTTGGTTTATGTTGTGGCCAAGAATTGATAAATATTAATTAACCATTAAATATTAATTATCCATAATAAATTTTTAAATTATTTTATGAACCAAAATATGGTTCGYTGCCGACATAATTTTGCTTCATTACACAAGTTGTGATATTTATTTTACCCTTTTGATTTCTCCCTGGGGTGTTCCTTGGAAAGGATTTACTTT